TTTTTATTTTTTATATTTTTCAATAGACAACTCGGTCAGTGTCTGTCTCACAGTATTCAGAGTCGTTTTTTTTTTTTTTTTTTATATATATATACTAGCGATTTATGCTTCATCAACTTGAATGACTGCGGCCACGATGTACATTAAGCAACGCTAACCCAACCCAGGCGTCCTTCGCTCAAGAATGGCCGCGGTGTGCGCGGTACGAGTAGCGTACGAGCGGGACTGGCGGTACGCGAAAAATCAAAACTGTACTACAAAGGAAACGGGAAACCGGTGGCTGGTCGAAAAACGACAAGAGCCCGGAGCATAATAATTTTAAAACGTTGTCATTACCGACGTGATATTTTTTTTTTTTTTAATTTACATTACATTTAAATAAATTAAAATGTATTTGCCTCTTGAACCTACGTTTGCTATGGGGTAAATTAGTTATCGTGCATTTCAAATGATTTGAATAACATCGTTTTTCCGAAATACGGGCATTAATACATACTGTCTTATATTATAGTTACATAATTATTGTAAATTTAATTCTTACAATTGTTTTAAAAAATATTTCTAACTAGTTGTATCTAATTTATTGTAAAAGGTTTTTCTTGGAGAAATATTCTAGTATTATAGCTTTTGATTATATTTACTGTTGAACACAGTTATGTGAAAATGTTTAACATATTATGCATTTTCTTTAATAATAATTGTATAATATTGTATTTTTTTTCCCGTTTTCACCATGATTTACCCATTTATCGAGAAAACACCAGGAAAAAAAAAAAAAAATGTTACTATCTTAAGTATCTCCCCAGTCCGATTTCCTTTCAAAAAAGTGCTATTATTGAAAATCGGATCAAAATGTCTGTTGGAAAATTCGTCCACAGAAAACACGAAAATGTTTTAAACGTTAATTGTTCGACATTACCCGATTGTCTTTTAATTTTCAAATTTATTTTATTCTCCTCGAATAAAAAACCCCATTAAGACAGTCGTCAATTATTGTCGGGACCGCATGTACTTGAGAACAAGTTGAATTGAAAAATATCACGCGGTAGACCAAAGCAACGGTGGTTAGGATATATTTTTTTACTACATAATATGTAATCAAAAGAGATATGCAGAAGTTGAGACCAGCGACTCCTCCGAGCGGAAGAGTTGTGTGTGACCGATCGATAAGACTTTTAGCCGATACCCGGTGTTCAAATATTTCAGAATATTTCGATTGGTCCTGTATAGAACGCGAATCAGATTTAAGTGTCCGGTTCAGCGTTAAATATTGGGACGAATGGGGGGGGGAAACATGTGATTTCGTAAACATCCGGGTCCTAACACGACCAACGGTGTACGTAAAATTAAAATATTATAATACGGAAACGATAAACCGACTTTGTACAGTTTCGCACGTTCGAATCGACAACAGGAGCCAGGCACGATAATATCAATATCGTATCGGATGTCCGTACAAACACCGCGACGATGTAACATTGTGTCGGCGAAATATTGTTCCGCGCCCCGGGCACGGGATAAACGAAAAAAACAAAACCTTTTTTTTTTTGTCCCCCACCCCTCACTCTATTTACCTTGTTATTCCCGGCGTCTCGGAACCCGTGCCGACCGTTTCGCCCCCGACGGCACGCAGTGTGTACGTCTCCGTTTGTTATCTTCCCGCGCGGGCCGTCCGACCGCGGGATCTCCTCGCCCCAACCCACCAACCACCCCCCCCCCTACCCGCTAAGTCGCGTTTCTCCGATGTCTTCCGTACAATAATATACGGTTCGATTTTCGAGGTATCGGTTTTTTTGTTTTTTTTTTTTTTTTTTTTTTTTTTTATCATTTCCCGGGCCCTCTTGTTCCGCGGTTTGTCGCGGACGCGTACGATCGCGGAAACCGACGAACACATACGCGGGGGTTCGGCGGCGGCGGGTACGAAGGCTTACCGCACGGGTATTGCGCGGCGAAAATAACGCGGTTTTAAATATCCATTTCCCGGACTGCACACGGGGACGAGACGACGATCGCTGGCAACTGCGCGTTACACACACCGCGAGACGTTTTGTACACCGTTCGCGGCGAGATGTATTTATATTGGACGACGATACCGTAACGATTCCGCGGCCGGAAATATGCGGCAACGTTTAAAACTATAACAATAATAATAATAATAATACTAATAATTATTATTATTATTATTGTACGCGCGACACACTCGTAGGGTTTCCAAATTTTACCCTCTTTGTTTTCAAATTAGTATCGCGTTTCCCGTTGACCCGTTTATAAAAAAAAAAAAAAAAAAAAAAAAAAAAATATACATATAATATGTATATATGATTGTGTGTACTCGCAAGCACACAGATATTAAACACACACTCACCAATAATTACAACAACAGCGAAGCCTTATTATTATTGTCCGCCGCCGCGTGCAACCCAATACGTCAAAATATTGATACGTTTTTAATACACAATATGTGTATATTTTTTTTTTTTTCTTTCAATTAGATATCATTTTTTCACCCACACGGAAGCTCTGTAAAACAATAACGTCGCCGCTATATAATATAATAATATAGATACGAATCGAATGCGGGCTTTTTTTTTCTATTTCCCCCCACCCCCCGAACCAACGTATAATCCAATTATTGTCATCATAAATACGAGTATATATATAATTTACTCATATATTATTATTATTATTATTATTATACGCGCGCGTTTTCGGTGTTTCACGGTGTATCGCATCGTGCGCAGGCCATGGCGTCGCGAACCTATTTTATTCATTAAAATTAATATCGAAAAGATCACTACCGGACCTCGCTGGGAAAACTCGCGCGGACGCCCGGGGTCGGGTACAGGTATATTCTCAATAAAAAACAACAACAACGATAAATTCAAAATAAGCGTTGTTAAACGTACACGGTGCAAATATATTCAGTTTTGGTCGCATCGGTATATTCATACACGATCCGAAAATCATACGGGGTCAATCGAGAATTTCCGGTTAACCGAAAAATCTGTCAATTCACCACAACGCCGTCTTACTCCCTCGTTAATTTGAAAACCTAACACGCTTCCGTAGTTGCTGTGTTTTCGATCGAGACGTTAAAAATAAGTTTTACACGCGGTGGCGGCGCGCGGCGGTGGGATCGTTATGACTTTATAAATGAAGACGATTATTTATCTTTTTTTTCCCCCACATCACAACAGAAACGCGCATAACACGAAGATGATTATATACGAAAACTAGTTTAAAAATAATAATAATAATAATCGTGAACGTGTAAATAACGGTTGAAAGCCGGCTAAACACCGAAAAAATAAACAAGAATCGATGTTTTTTAAGTATACGAGTATATTTGTATTTGTATGAGTTATAAACATCAGAGGAATTTTAATTTTTAATTTTCCGTTCAATAATTCGTTAAACGCACCATTATTTGTAATAACATTCGTCGGACGAGACGAGAGAGTTCGTTAACATCGTTTTTTGTTTTTGTTTTTATTTTGTTTTTTTTTTTCGAACGGTATACGGTACATTCTCTGTCGTCATATTTACGTATATTGTATACATAATTATTACGGACGTGTAAATAAAGAACGAACCAGAAATTATATTCGTATATATACCTAGTTTTTACGAGTATCACTTGAAAACCGTTCGTTTTTTAGACGATGCGTATTTTTCTTTCTTTTCTGCCTGGTAAACAACACTGTTCGACCGGAAATGCACATCGACGTCGACTACTTCGAGAGCGCCGGTTTTCTGGTGCCTATCGAGTCTTGTCTATTGGGCGGTTCGTTCGGGGAGATCGTGTTTTGATTTTTCTCATGCTTTTATTAATAATCGGAGGGGGGCGAAAACGCGTACAAAAGAATACTTCGTGGCCGCGGGGCGAGGTTGCAAAACGATACGTATCTTATTTGTTATAATATAGAGAGTCGTACGAGAGAGAGACGATGCTTACATCTCCCGAGAAAAAAGCGAACAAAAATTAATTAATAAAAAAAGACGTCCTAGGATAATGGGATCAGGTGCAGCAACTGTTATAAGTAATTTCATTTCATAGTTGATAGTGCTGCTTGTTCAACAATATATATATGTCATATTGTGGTAAAATTCCAATTATTTCAATTCCGAAATTAAAATGGAACCAGTTTTTCCTACGTTTTTCTCGTTTAGCCTAAGATTTTTTTTTTTTTTTTTTTCGGTTTTTCGCATTTTATGCGAAAACTCTTGAGAAAATCGATAAATGATCTCCCTAAAGTACCTCCCCACACCGATTTTCCCTTCAGAAAAGGCGCTACGCATAAACACCGTAGCAAGATCTCAGGTAGAAAAGTTGTCCACAGAAAAATATACAAAATACAAAAATAAACATCTTCGTAAAACCACCATAAGCTCCTTCGCTCCGCTCGGAATCTAAGAAAAAAGAAAATAAATTTGTCGGATCCGAAAAACACGCCACCGACACAATAATAATATCAATAGCCCGGGTCCGTCGCGTCCTCCTCTCCGATTTCAAATCTCTTTTCACTACATACATACATACACACACACAGAATAATAATAAAAGTATTTTCTACGTCCGAAGGGCTGCTGCTGCTGCTGCTGCTACTACTACTACTACTACTACTACTACTATTACTACTGCTATTACTACTACTACTACTATTATTATACTGTTGTCGTCGTCGTTTGTCCTTTATTTTTTTTTCCCCTGCTTGTGTACGCGCGTAACGGGAGAGTGGATATTTTTATTTCAATAGGAAAACCGTCACGCGGCATCGAATTTGATGACCGTACAGCATCGGCGGCGGCAGCACGTTTATTGACACTGGTGTGCAATAATGTTGACATTGCACGGTCTCTCGTATAATAATAATGTACGAGAGACGGTCGGTTCCCTTGGGGTCACGTCTCCGGCAGAGAGAGAGAGAGAGAGAGAGAGAAACACGACATCCGTCTAATAATAATAAAAATAATAAAAGACAGAAATAATAAAAGACAGATTTGTTTTTTTTTTCAATAATCGCGAAGGATCGTCCGTACCGATAATGCACGGTGTTTACATTATACGCGACATAGAGAGACAGAGAGAACGAGAGAGAGAGAGAGAGAGAGAGAAGTGCCTGTATACACGTGTCCCCCGACGAAATAATATCAGAGATACCTGCCTCCCATTGTTTGATTGATTTATTCGGTAAAAACGAAACGGACGACGACGACGATGATGATGTCGGCATGTCGGCTATATTATTTTTATTGTGCACAGGTGACCGCCGGTATTACACATAATATTATATCGCACAAATACCTTATAATACATAGGTATTTCTATATACGCATGTGTGTTAAAAATACGAATATTATATTTCGAGTGCAAGCGCGGTGTTTGTATAGGTCCCCTCGATTTTTGTCATACGTTTTTTTTTTGTCCCCCCGGTACACAATATAAGATTATTATTTCATTTTTTTTTTTTTTCTCTTTAAAAATATTATATTATATTATTATACGTTATATCGTCGTCGGAAATCTCGTATCGAAACGGGTGCACTCTCCGGCTGCCGAAATTCGCGAGATCCGCGACGCTCGCGTTTCATTGTGCGCGACGACGACGACGACGACACACACATGTCATATTGTCAAATATCAAATTGATATTTGTCGGACGCGTATGAAAATCCGTAAAATATTAGCGTGCTCGACCGAAATCGACAACGATCGGGCGCGGCGGCGGGGTCGGGTGGAGATACGTATTGTATAACAGAGGTACGCGGATATTCGATAGGATAATAATACACCCAGCTATTATGTGCATTATATTGTGTACCGGGTGAGCCCGTCGTATAACGCACGATGTCATATTATTTTTTTTTTTTTTTTTTTAATAATGCGTAGTCTGCGCCGCGCTCGTACAACACGCATTATACGCGTACACAACGTTACATTATACCGGGTGACGTGTATACACGAAATAAAATATACACGAGGCATTACCCGCCTAATAATGTCGCGTGTTATTATTATTTTAAATACTATCGACGAGGCGACGAGCGTGAGAAAAACTACGACGGCGACGACGGTAATAATATTATCCCGGCCGTGTACGGCGACCGCGGCGACGACTCGGTTCACCACCTACTCCGTCCTGTAGTCGTCGATATAATAATTTATACCCGGTGTACGGGGAAAAAAAAAAAAAAAGAGAAAAAGATACTCGGCAGATAAGAATTGAGAAGGAAAAAAAAAATAATAACGAAAAATACACGATAATGTTTATGATATCGTCGCGAAGAGCGTATTTTACACGCGTGCATAATAATATTCGTACGAATATTATTTTATGACGGACGTTCGCGATCGCCGCGGACGAGATAACGTGCGACTGATAACGGGCGGTGTCGTTTCCCCCCCCCCCTACTCCCACGGGGCCGGTTATTTAAACGACACCCGCGGTAATAATTAATAACAATAATCGCGCGGTGCCAGAGGAATGATGATGTTGTTGTTATTATTATTATTATTATTATCGAGCGGTCCGCGGTCTGCTGTACAGGTCGTCGTCGCGTGTGTACCTTCTACACGTCACCGTCGACGTGGTCGTTTCCAGTTTCAAACGGAACCGGGAACGGAGAGGAGAGAAAAGTGGCGCGGGGGGCGAAAAAAACCGCGTTTAACAAATCGATTGCCGCCGCGAGTGTATTATTATTATTATTATTATCATTCGTCATTATCGTCGTTTATTATTTGGTCGGTTGTTGCGCAAACGTTCCGAGACATCGGCCGAACTTGCGCGCGAATCGGTGTATCTCCTCCCGGGGAAAAAATATCTAACCCGGGTAAACAAAAACCGATTCCATAACGGGATGCACGGAAATGGCGACCGGTCAAATGCAGTGCGGGTCATCTGGAACATTTTTGCTAAATAAATACGAAAATAACGACATAATGAATGCTGATATTATTGCATTTTGCGCACTGATCGAATTAACGAGAATAATCGTATTGGGTGTATTACAGTACAGTCGGGGACGGGATTCTGTGGGATTTTGTTTTGCTCTAATGCGCGATGGTACAAGGTGATATTATAACGATACGACATGTGTATACATAGTCTCGTATAAAGGATACATTTAATATTCATTATACGAATCAATAAAATACCGAAACATCACGCACGCGCGTGTGATAGACCGAGCGATTACTAGTTAGAGAAAAAACAATAAATAAGCCTAGCCGAAAGCTGGCGGTTTGCATCTCTATTATATTAGTGTCGATAGAGAAAATTTTCCGCGCTGCCGAACGTTAATTCGCCGCCGTTTCGTATACGATAGAGACGGGGACACGGGGCGCGGGTATCGCGTCCTCTTAATCCCCCGACACTAAATACGGTGCGTAATACTATACGAGTGAAAAAAGGAATAATAATAATAATGAAATACCGTGCGACGACGACAACCGTCGCGGCGTCGGCGGTGCGGTCGAGCAAGTGTTGTTGTAAAAAGGGGGACGACAAAAAATGAAAAAAAACCCTCGAAACGTCGGAAAAAAAAACAAACAAAAAAAGAACCAGAAAACGACCGAATCGAAAGATCGAAGAGGAAACCGACGACGACAAAAGAAAAACTGCCGGTTATCCGCGTATCTCGAAAACGATCAGTCAGTCAGTCTGCAGTCAGTGTCTCTCTCTCTCTCTCTCTCTCTCTCTCTCTCCGGTTCTGTAACGATAATAATTTAGAAAAGAAAAAAAATCAAAAATCGTATTTATCGGGTATTGATGTACCTACCACAATTATTATTATTATCATCATCATCATATGTATGTATAGAGGTATATTCGATTCGATTTTTTTCCCGTTTTCTTTCCCGCCGTCTCCTTCGATACAACACATAGATACAGGTATGCACGCACAATAAATATTACATAATAATAATTTACGCCGGCGGACGCGGCGTATTTTATTTGTTTTATCGTCTGGCTTTATCTCGGGAGGGGCGGGGAAAAAAAAAGCGAAAAAAAAACGACAAAATACACGCGCGCGCACGGTACAACAACAATAACCCATCGGAGAGTAAACAGTGTGTGTGTGTGTGTGTACTCGACATTATTTTTATGTATGCGCGCCGCTCTTAATTAAAAACCTGAAACTCCCTTTGTCACACGAAACGCGCGCGCGCGCACCGCGCCACAAATACATAAGCGGCGTACACAATAATATAAGTGTACGCGTATATTACACTGTACACGAGCAGTATTTATTATTTTTTTATATGTACGCGCGCGCGCGCTCGCCACCTCCGCCGCCTCCCTCGTCCGCGTCGCGTTATGTAAGAGGAGAGCGCGGACGTAATAAAAACGAGACGAACCTCAACCCCTCCACCCCCCCCCCCCNCCCCCCCCACACACGCCACTACGTCGTCGCCGGCCGGTATCCGATACGCCGGTGCCGCTGCCGGTGCATAGATTTATCGTCCAGACCTCAAACGCGACGACGACGACGACGACGACGACGACGACCACTGCAGTGGTTCTCAAGGCAATTATAATAAATTATTGATAGCAGCGGCGTGTATTATTATCGTCGTATAATTCTGTTACGTTATTATTATTATTATTGTTGTTGTTCGCTCGGCCGGCCGCGCATTTAAAAACGGCGGCGATGATGCCGCCGCCGCGTGTTCGATTTCGCCGGGTTTCCCACCCCCCCCTCACCCCGCGACGGTATTGAAATATCGGGGCCTACACGACGGGGCGGGGGGGGGGGCTCTCCGGGCTCTATAACAGCCCCGGGGGTCGCGGCGAGTCGAACAAGGGCCGCCGCGCGACGTTACTCGTCGATGCCATTTTCTTTTCATTTTTCCCGCCTTACAGGTCTCTTTTATAACACGAAAACGCCATTGCCGCCGAACGACGTTAATCGATATTAACGTCTCGATACGTGCACAACTGTATCGGTGATGTTAACGATATTTATGTATCATCTACACGTATTTAAACGTCCCTCCGTGTAGTATTATTTATGTTGAGCTATTATGACGTGCAGAATTTCCGTAACGATTGACGACAACCAGGTATGATTATCGGTGAAATCCGAGTTAATATTAATATATTATGTTTCGGGTTTTTTTTTTTTTTTTTTATCTATTTTTCCGCGTTCATTTCTTGTTTATTTTACTTTGAAACGCGTATCGTTGAGAATATTTTTAGTGACGTAATGAGACGGAATCGAATATAACTACAACACTGTCCTGCTATCTCACCCACCCATCTAACCTCAATTTCTGTTAAATTTTCAAGAATTTCTGTCAAGTCTAACAATTTTACCACCGAGTACCTATCGAATAAATATTACGTACAAAACTCGCAAAATTAAAATGTCTATGAATAGCTCAAAAATGGTTTAAATTTTTTGAAAATTTTATCACATCTATAAAAGGCAAATATGAGTTTTCTGGCAAAATTCAAGTCTCTAAGAATATTTTTAACTGAATTACAACAAATAACAAAATTGAAAAATAACAAAAGCCTTATTTTTGTAAATTTCCCGTTTTTCTTACGTTTTATCCTGGTTTTTCCCAGATATTATGAATACTGCTTGTAAAATCATATAAAAAAAAAAAAAAAAAACCACCTTCCAAAAGTACCATCTGGACAACATTCCCTTCCAGAAATGATACCGCGCGTATATAATTGAACGAGATTTCTGGTAGTATTTTGGTACACAGTATAAAAAAAAAAAATAAACATCTTAGTAAAACCAATACATTCTTTGCTACACTCAGAATCTAAAAAACGAAGAAAGATTCTATCCGACCATCGGCGAATCCGAAAATTCTACCCAACGGTCTATTATTGGCTCGACATAGTACCAACATCATAGACAAATGAAAGACAAATAGACAATACAATTATTATTATCTAGTTTTGTTGAAACTAAACAGTATGTTTAGCACATTATACAGCCGTCAATGTACCCAAACCATCAATATACTGATACGGACAAAGCAAAACGGAAATTGTAATTACCTTAAAAGGTAAAAATAATAATAAAAAAAAATAAAATGAGCGCGGGCAACGCCGGTCGTCGTTGGACAGCTAGCGCGTTGCATTATAATAACAGGTACGATAATTTATGATTAACTGGTGTGTATAACAATTCGGATGGGTTTTCTTTCTCGCGATGTCCGACAATAACGTAACATTCAATAACCGCCGTACGGGACAATAAAGTAATAGAGCGAAAACAAAATTATCAAAACGGCCAATACTCG